TATGGCACTTCCATGTAGGGTTGTGGGAGTGTCCAGCGATGGATTCACATGATGGCCGTAGTGGTCGCTCGCTTGCAGGTGCGGACTACGCCTGGCGTCCATTTGCTGACACCCAACTCTCATGTGTGGCTCCACGTAGCTGAGCTCTGTCCGGCGGCCAAACCCCGGGCAACCGCCTCCACCGGGGGGCTAAACCAGGTGAGGGGGCCTTGTGCGCGTTGTGCCGAGTGCACAGGCATGGCGGCATCCGCTGGATGGATGGTCGAATGAAACACTGCTCCGGCATCGTCGAGACGAGGCTCTGTCTGGTACGCCGTTGGACAGCTGCTGCCGGGATGGGTCTCCGCATCGCCTTCGTCGACGGAGACCGCGGACTTACGGCAAATTCGGTCGTTCTCCACTAAGAACAACAAGTCGTGGCCCCATAGTGGGGTTCGGCCGAGCCAAACAGGCACATAGGCAGCCCTATCCAGGGGTGGCACTGCCTGCCCTCACGAGGTCAAGGGCCTAGAAAAGGTGGCCTAAAAATTGCTGGGCACCACGCCGTCTGCAGGCCAGCCAGGGCCGAAGATGTCATAAACATGATCGAAACAATCAAAATCGAAACAACAACAACAACAACAACAACAACAACGACAACAACAACAACAACAACAACAACAATAACAACAGCAGCAGCAGCAACAACAACAAGACTCGCTCACCTCCTCATCCTACCTCTTCTTCCTCTTCCTCTGCCTATTCTTCTCCTTCGCCGTCTTCGTCTCCACCTCCTTCTCGCCGCCACACTCGTTGTCACCAGACTGGCAGGGTGAGTCCGCTCACTCTGGCAGCCTGGAATGTTCGTTCCCTTTTAGACAACCCGAAGAGCAACCGACCGGAACGGAGGACAGCCCCCGGGAACTGGCGCGCTACAAGGTGGACATCGCCGCACTCAGCGAGACCCGATTCTCCAAACAAGGCCAATTGGAGGAGGTGGGTGGTGGCTACACCTTCTTCTGGAGCGGTCGGCCCAGGCCAGAGCGATGAGACGCGGGTGTCGCCTTCGCCATCCGGGACGACATCGTGGGACGACTGCCCTGTTTGCCGCAGGGCATCAACGATCGCCTGATGAGCCTCCGTCTGCCTCTCTGGGGAGGCAAATTCGCCACCATCATCAGCGCCTACGCTCCGACGATGACCAGCCCCGACGCCGTCAGAGACAAATTCTACGAGGACCTGCACGCCCTCTTGGCGACTGTGTCGAAGGCGGACAAGTTGATTGTCCTTGGTGACTTCAACGCCCGCGTCGGCACAGACCATACTGCCTGGAGAGGAGTGCTGGGTCCCCACGGTCTCCGCGGCTCAAACGACAATGGTCTGCTGCTGCTCCGCACCTGCGCAGAACACCGCCGCATCCTGACGAACACGTTCTTCTGTCTGCCGGAGCGACAGAAGGCCACCTGGAGGCATCCTCCGTCGCGTCAGTGGCACCTGCTGGACTACGTCCTCGTCCGGAGGCGAGATCAGCGGGACGTGCTGGTGACGAAGGCGATCGCAGGTGCTGACGGGTGGACCGACCATCGCCTCGTCATCTCGAAGATGCGTATTCGCCTACAGCCCCGCAGGAGACCACAAGGTAAGCGACCCCCAGGTAAGCTGAATGTTGCCTTGTTGTCTTTGCCCGCTCACCATCTTCATTTCAGCAATGAGCTAGCTCACCGGCTAGACAACCTTCCTATCGCTGTCGCCGACGACGCAGCCGCTGCCGAGAACGCTTCCGTGGAGAACCGCTGGTGTCAACTGCGAGACACGGTCCAGGCGACGACGCTCGCCGTCCTCGATCGCGCTCCCCGCCAACACCAGGACTGGTTCGACGACAACGATGCCGCCATCAGAAATCTGCTCGCCGAGAAGAACCGCTTACACAAAGCCTACGTAGATCACCCCACTGATGCCACCAAAGCTGCTTTCTACCGCAGTCGTCGCCAGCTTTAGCAACGACTGCGCGAGATGCAGGACGTCTGGACTGCTCGCAAAGCTGAGGAGATCCAAGGGTACGCGGACCGCAACGAATGGAAGAACTTCTTCTCTGAGATCAAAGCTGTCTACGGTCCGCCGACGAAGCGCACTGCTCCTCTCCTCAGCGCCGAGGGCAGTACTCTCCTGACTGAGAAGACGCAAATCCTTCAGCGAAGGGCCGAGCATTTCCGAGGCGTCCTCAATCGCCCCTCCACCATCTCCGACGCCGCCATCGACTGCCTGCCGCAAATGGAGACCAACGTGGACCTCGACCTCCCGCCATCTCTCCAGGAAACCATCAGGACCGTGCAGCAGCTCTCCAGCGGGAAGGCATCCGGATCGGACGCAATCCCTTCTGAGGTCTTTAAGCATGGAGGTCCCCAACTCATGTGCCACCTGACTGCGCTCTTCCAAGAGATGAGGCGTCAAGTTGAAGTCCCGCAAGATTTCAAGGACGCAACCATCGTGCATCTGTACAAGCGAAAAGGAAGCCGCCAAATCTGCGACAATCACCGTGGAATCTCCTTGCTGAACATCGCCGGGAAGACCTTCGCTCGCATCCTCCTCAACCGTCTGAATAATCATCTGGAACAGGGCCTTCTGCCGGAAAGCCAATGCGGCTTCCGTAGCCATCGTGGGACCACGGATATGATCTTCGCCGCCCGTCAAATTCAGGAGAAGTTCCAGGAGATGCGGACCCACCTGTACTCTACCTTCGTTGGTCTGACGAAAGCTTTCGACACGGGGAATCGTGAAGGACTGTGGAAGATCATGCAGAAATTCGGCTGTCCGGAGCGATTCACTCAGATGGTGCGTCAGCTGCACGACGGTATGATGGCGTGAGTCACGGACAACGGTGCTGTCTCAGAGGCATTCGCAGTGACCAACGGAGTGAAGCAGGGATGCGTGCCGGCACCAACCCTCTTCAGCCTTATGTTCTCTGCCATGCTGATGGACGCCTACCGCGACGAACGCCCCGAGATCCGAATCGCCTACAGGACGGACGGTCACCTGCTGAATCAACGGCGGATGCACTTCCAATCGCGCGTATCCACAACCACCGTTAACGAACTTCTCTTCGCCGACGACTGCGCCCTGAACACCATCTCGGAAGAGGAGATGCAACGCAGCATGGACCTGTTCTCCGCCTCCTGCGTGAACTTCGGTCTGGTTATTAACACGCATAAGACGGTGGTGATGCACTAACCGCCACCCAACTCAGCCGCAGCCCCCAACGCGCCGCAAATCAGCGTGAACGGAACCGAACTGCAAGTGGTGGAGAACTTCCGGTCGGACAATTGTATGTAGCCTGGACTATGCAAGCGAACGGAAGGTCCGTGTCATACGGGATGGGTGGGAAGAGGGGGTTTTAAGGGTGGGGAAAATGGGGAACCCAGCGAAGAGTTAAAAAATAAGTAAAAAATAGGTTTAGAAAGTTAATAATTAAATTTGTTTGAGGTGAAAATGTGCCGAAAATTCAAAAAGTAAGCTGTAACCAATAGGAACAAGATACCCAAGGCCAAAGCCATTCCGCTGGAGGTGCCCCAGACGATACTGTCACGGATGATGAATCCTAGTGAAATGCCAACAACAAGCAGGGCGGTGGAAAGTGAACCCGAGCAACGGTAAGTATGAATGCAAAATACGCAGGACGTAGAGGACTGAAGCTGTACTTATTAATTTGTTCAATAATTATCAAACGTTTCCCACTTATAGAACATGGACAGCAAAGAAGAAGCGGAAGGCCGCTCCGCAAGCAAATAATCCGTCGGAGTTTGGACAGATCCTGGATATTATCCAGTCCCCGTATTTAGTGCAATATTTGCAAGCTAAAGGAGTGCTGGCGACGGAAGTTAGATGTCGCTGTCGTAAGCCGATGACATTGCGAATATTGCGGCAGCACACGGACGGGTTTGCCCTCAGGTACACGAAAATATTAATATAATGCATTCCGCAGGTGTAACAAATGTGGCACCAAAAGGGCACTGAGAACGGGTTCAGTGTTTAAGGATAGTCGCCTCCCGGAAGCATAATAGTGACTGACCAGTGTAAGGCATATGCAAAGCTAAGTGAAGAGGGATACCGGCACGAAACGGTGAATCGTTCGAAAAATTTTGTGGACCCCACCTCCAGAAAGAACACGAACGCAATTGAGGCCTATTGGAGTAGGCTGAAAAAGAAGTTGCGCGAACGCGGACCTACGAAAGGCCGAAGGATATGGGCCTACCTCGATGAAGCACAGTACCGACTGTGGTTCGGACTGAAAGCAAGTAATTTGGCAGAGTCCTGGGAAAGATTCCTGTCCCATGTGGCTCAGGCCTATCCAGTATCGGAAGCGCAATCGGAAACCGAGATAATTTGCAGCTGACCAGAAAGGTAAGCAGTAACATGTTAATGATGTTGTACACCTAGTTGAATAATAGCGGCCACTGTAAAAACAGTCAGACGGAACAGCCGAACGGCCAGGCAATGGACATTTTGGCCATTGAGAACGGGTGCAGTGGGAAAAGTTTGTAATTCTTTCATACTCCGCACATAAATAGTGAATTCCTTACTATACCTCTGAACTTTTGTTCCCGTTTAATCCCATAACCCCAGCCAAAAATGCGCCAACCGAGATTGAATGCGTAATGTTTGAAGGGATTGATGGTAAACCAATGTACACCCTAGCTGGCGGTCTTGACCAATCCAAAGGCTACTTCGTAAGTACGCTAACCGTCAAGCCGATGAATGGTGAACGTAAAACGGGAAAGCCAGACCTACTGGTCGCCGAAAGGCGGCCAAACCGCCCAACCGCACGGACGTACGAAATCGGCCGACGCGCAAAGGGAAAGCGATTGAAGGAGACCGCACAGAGATCCCGAGGCCCGGGCGTACACCGAAGCCCGTGAAAGTGCAAAGCAAAGCCGAAGCCCTATTGTTGGCTAGCCGTTCCAAAGCCAGCTGTGCTGAGGTGAAGGGGCGGGGAAATGAGCCGTACGGCAGGCAAAGAAAGCAAGCGGCAAGCGGCCTTAGTAGACCACACAGGAAGCCAGTGACCGGGGTTAACGTCTATATGGGTAAGCCACGAAAGGCAAACCTGCGCCGATTAAGTGCACCCAACGCCTACGCGCCTAGCTAACTGGCGCGGTAGCCGCATGGAACACGATATGGGAGGCCCCCCCCAGCGATCAAATACAACCCGGTAGTTTCGTAAAGGCAGGGGGAGTGGGAGGTATTAGCCTGTTAACACGACTGAAGCAGCTTGCAGGTAGAAGCATAATGTAAAGCGTGTTGAATCGCAATCCGCAAAGGTCAAGGATTTCGCCTTTTACTGAAGATTTCCGTGTGGGGGTGCAATGCAATGTGCCCATATAGACAGTCTTACAGCGCCTCGTTCTCGGGACGGTTACAGTGAAGGAGAAAGTCATCCTGACAGACCCTGTACGCCAAATAAAGCAAACATAGCTGGAGCAATAACATGAAGGACTTTACAGCATAACCGCCCTTCCTTCGCCCAATTGGCAGTTGTAAGTATGAAACCTAATAAAAGCACGCCTACTGATAAGAAGCAAGTACGTCAACAATGTTGACTCATAATCCCAGGCTACACGCATTTGTCTCGTCGAACTTCCTTTACCTGGGCAGTACTCTCTCCCGCAACACCAAGATCGATGACGAAGTCGCCAACAGGATCTCGAAAGCCAGTCAAGCCTTCGACCGCCTCCAAAGCACAGTTTGGAATCGCCACGGTCTTCAGCTGAGCACGAAGCTGAAGATGTACAAGGCCGTCATTCTGCCGACGCTACTGTATGGAGCGGAGACGTGGACGGTGTACACGAGGCAGGCATGCCGCCTGAACCACTTCCACCTCAGTTGTCTTCGTCGCATCCTGAGGCTGAACTGGCAGGATCGCATCCCCGACACTGATGTGCTGGAGCGGACGGGAATCGTCAGCATCTACACCATGCTGAGACAAATGCAGCTGCGCTGGAGCGGTCACCTGGTGCGCATGGACGACGAGCGACTACCCAAACGACTCTTCTACGGAGACGTCGCGACAGGTTCTCGCCGTCAAGGAGGCCAAATTCGCCGTTACAAGGATACCCTGAAGTCCTACCTGAAGCGCCTGCAAATCAACCCCACCAACTGGGAAGAGCTCGCACACGATCGTCCGACCTGGAGGAGAACAGTGAAGACGGACGCTGCTATATACGAAGCCAATCGCATCGCTGCCGCCAAAGTGAAACGCGAAGCCCGCAAATCCCAACTGCGCTTAGTACGCAACGCCGCCGCACAACCGCTTTCAACGTGTCCTCGATGCCAACGGACATTCCGGGCTCGAATCGGACTTGTTGGACATCTTCGGATCAACTGCGCCTCTCGAACTGCACCAACCATCGTCCATCCACCCGTCTGTTCCTCGTCCTCTCTGCCGCCAACTAACTCTGACTATTCTTCTGAACCACCACTTCCATCCTCCTCCTCCTCCT